CACTTGGTGAAGTAGTCAATAGAAATGAGAATGAACTTGTGTCCATTTGAAGCACTTGGTTCAATCCGTCCAATCATATCAATGCTCCACATTGCAAAGGACCATGATGAAGTCATCACATTCAACAGAGTGGGAGGACTATGTATCCTATCTGCGTAAACTTGACATTTATGGCACATCTTCACATACACACAACAGTCACTTTCCATCGTCATCCAGAAATAACCTGCTCATAGGATTTTCTTGGTCATAGCATGCCCACTGGCATGAGTCCCAAAAGATCCCTCATGAATTTCTCGTATGATAGATTATGCTTCGTGTCTATCCATGCATCTGAGAAAAACCGAATCATAGTTTCTTTTGTACAGAACGTCTCCTGACAATAAAAACTTGGATGTTAATCTTTTAAGAGTCCGCTTATCACAAATTGTAGCACCCTCGGGATAATCTTGCTTCTTAAGATATCTTTGATATCAAAATACCACAGCTTTTTCATCTGACACGTCTTCCATTGTGAGACAATGAGCATGGAAAACATGTGATGACTCCTTGTAACGAAGGATTTTTATATTGGGTGCGTGATTCGGGTAACTGACTTTGAACGTTGCTGCTAAAGTAGCTAGAGCATCTAACAACTGATTTACTTCTTTAGGGATATGCTCAAAAGTGATCTCGTCAAAAGCGGGCAACAACTCTAGTATGTAATCCTGGTATGGAACTAAATTGAGGTGTCGTGTATCCCAATCACCTCGTACCTGGTATATTACTAAGGCAGAATCCCCATAAACTTCAAGAATCCTGATCTTCAAAACAATGGCTGCTTCAAGGCCCATTACACAAGCTTCGTATTCTGCGACGTTATTCGTACAATCAAAACATAACTTGGCCGTGAAAGGTATGTGATTATTGCATGGAGAAGTCAAAACTGCCCCAATACCATGGCCAGTGGCATTTGACGCACCGTCGAACGTGAGATTCCATCACTCCCCTGGTTCAGGTCTTTCCTTATCATCAAGTTTCATAACATCCTCGTTTGGAAAATCGAACTTCATTGATTGATACTCTTCCAATGGATGGTGGGCAAGATGATCTGCAAGAATACTACCTTTGATAGCCTTTTGTGTGACGTACTGAATGTCATATTTAGATAAAAGCATTTGCCACCGAGCTAATCTGCCTATAAGTGTTGGTTTCTCAAAGATGTACTTTATCGGATCCATCTTAGATATCAGAAGTATAGAGTGCGTCATGTACTGCCTCAAACGTTGAGCTACCCACGTAAGAGCACAACATGTCTTCTCAAGTAATGATACCTTGATTCACAATCAGTAAACTTTTTGCTCAGGTAATAAATGACGTGTTCTTTTCATCCAGTATCATCATGTTGTCCAAGCACACAACCCATAGATCCTACAAGCACAATCAAATACATAATGAGAGGTCTCCATGGAACTGAAGGTATGAGTATTGGTGGTTCCTGAAGGTGTTAGAACATAGTTTGATTCTACAACCTTTGTAAGAGTTTTGATGATAACACACTCAAAGAACAATTATGCTCCCTAAATAAGTATTTTGTTTTGCGGGGAAGTTCTGATGTAAGAAGCATAGAAGATGAGTTAGATCGTGTTTAAACTCTGATTCAACACATCTTACATAGAAAGCAAAATCTGTTTAACACGCTTATATAAAAAAGTTCTAAAGCTACAACTTCTGAGTGTACTAAATGCTGCGAACAAGAACTTTGTTATTCTGTTTCGTACAAGTTCTGGAAAGAAGTAAAGGAGTCCCAACGGTAACATTCATCTTCTGATGTAATCTTTAGCAAGCATGTTCTGAAGCGTTACATTTCATTCATGACTATTAAAAAGTAACGGCTGAAAGAGGACAAGAATCTCTATGTTTGGAAAGTTCTTTAATTACTATTTATCATTCCAAAAGCACCTCACATGCGTTGCCTATATAAACAAGACTTAAAGGAGAAATTGTTTACGATTTTTACTGCGCACAACAAACGAGAAATATCATCACCTTCAATCTATTAAATTTTATTTGTGTAATACATCACTTGTATGATATTGTTTTGTTAGAAAACATATCTTGTACACTCTTTCAATTATTATATTGTAATATCTTGAGAAAACTGGGTTGTGGTTTAAAATCAAGAAGACTTTGACGATTGTCATCGTATTTGTGTAATCAAGTTTGATTAGTGGATTAAGACCTCGTTGAGAGAGGAAAATCACCTTGACGGGTGGACTGGAATAGTTTGAGTTAAAACGAACCAGGATAACCAACATGTCTTTTGTAGTTAAGTTTTAAAAACCCCAATCCAAACCCCATCTTCTTGTGTTTTTCCATTTTTCAATTGGCATCAGAGCGCCTGGTTTTGAGTGCAAACACTTAACTGTATTAGAAAAAGATCCAAGCAAGAAAAACACTATGGTGGCACCAAGTCAGAACATCAACAATGATTATCATGATGATAAAGACAGAATCAGCGGCAAACCTTCAATCTTTGATGGTGAAAACTTTGGTTACTGGAAGAATAGAATCGAAATTTTATTTCTAGCTCATGACGCTGATCTCTGGGATATGGTGACTGATTGATGTATACATCCAGTTGACGAAAGCGGTCAGAAGATTGACAGAAAAAGAATGGCAGTTCATTAAAAGAGGGAATTCATAAATCATCACAAGGCCAGAACAATTATCTTGAGTACTATCTCGTACACAACGTATGAGAAAATCACAAGCAAAGAATCAGCAAAACACATGTTTGACTCCTTGAGAATAACGCATGAAGGCAACACGCAAGTCAAAGAAACCACAGCTCTTGCTCTCATTCAGAAGTATGAAGCTTTCAAAATGGAAGAAGATGAAACTATTAAAACAATGTTCTCAAGATTTCAAATTTTGGTTGCTGGGCTAAAATTTCTAGATAAAGGGTACTCAACTGCAGGTCATGTAAAGAAAATCATCAGAAGTTTATCCAAGAAATGGAGACCCATGATCACAGCTCTAAAACTGGCCAAAGATCTGAATAAAATCTCTCTCGGAGAACTTGTCAGCTCCCTGAGAAGTCATGAGATAGAATTAGAAGAAGATGAGCCCCAGAAGCAAGGTAAGTCTTTAGCTCTTAAATCTAACAAAAAATATGAACCTAAAGTTTTACATGCAAAAGAAAACTCTGGTGGATCCTCATCAGAAGAAGACGAATTGTCTCTTCTCTCCAAAAGAGTCAATCAGTTGTGGAAGCATAGGCAGAGGAAGTTCAGAACTTCCAGGAGAACAAGAAATCATTTTGAACCATCTTCTGGATACAAAAAATCAAGCAACAGAGATATTGTTTTCTACGAATGCAATGAACAAGGTCATTACAAGAGCGACTGTCCAAATTTTCAAAATGAGAAACCTAACAAGAAGTTCTTTAAATAAAAGAAGAAAAGCCTCATGACAACATGGGATGACTCAGAATCTTTTGAAGCTGAAACAGAATCAGAAGATGAAAGAGCCAACATAGTCCTAATGACCAACGTATCAGATGACACTGGATCATCTGAATCAAAATCAGACTCAGGCAGAAGAGGTATTCTTTAACTTTTCTAGATCTCAATTAGAAGAAAGTCTGTCAGAAATTCTTGAAAGATATCAACAACTTCGAGTCATAAACAAGAACCCGAAAAAGGATCTAGTTTCTGACTCTGAAGAAACTAAGAAACTGAGAACAGAAAACTCTGAGCTTAAAGAAAAAATTTCTAAACTCGAAAATAAATTACAAAAGGCTCAGAAAGAAACTGCCTCAGAAGTTCCTAGTAACTCTGATAAGATCATACAAGAATATGATCATAACTTTCAAAAATTTCTTGCTAAAAACATAGATAGGAGCAAGATGGCTTCAATGATCTATAGAGTTAGCAGAAATGGCAGAAAAGAAATAGGATACAAGGGTAAAGTATTTCAACCTAAGAAGGTTAAGGATATGGTCATAAAACACACACCCCTTTATTCTCACTTCACTTATGAGCACGCACGTGACATAAAGTATACTAATAATACTTTTTCTGCAAAACCAAAATTCAAACAGAATTTTGGTAACTCTAACAAACAAGGACCTAAAAAGATATGGATACCTAAGGACAAAATTGTCTATGTTGCAGATGTCTTTAACAGTAAAATTGAAACACCAATCTTGATAACTGAACTCTAGATGCTTTTGACACATGACGGAAAGAAGACATTGGCTCTGGAACTATTGGTAACCGTACACTTTCTTCTATAACTAATATTCTGTTAATAGATGGATTAATGCATAACTTGTTATTCATAAATCAATTAAGTGATAACGGTTATGATATAATCTTCAATCAAAAGTCTTGTAAAGCACTTAGTCAGAAAGATGGATCTATCATATTTAATGGAAAGAGAAAGAACAACATCTACAAAATAAAAATTTCTAAACTAAAAAGTCTAAATGTAAAATGTCTATTGTCTGTTAACAATGAACAATGGGTCTGGCACAGAAAATTGGAACATGTTAGTATAAGAAGAAAATCTCAGATTAACAAACTCAGTCTGGTCAGAGGATTTCCTAACTTGAAGTTCAGCTCAAATACTCCGTATGAAGCATGTCAAAAAGGCAAGTTCAGCTAAGATTACCTTTAAATATAAGAATTTCAAGATAATAAATCCAAACATATCTATAATATATCTCGGCCTAAATTCAGAAATACCTCTATAAAAACATACATTTAGTTTTGGACTGCAGTTTTGGAAACTAACTCGAAGTCTAATTAATTACAATCCTCAAAAATGACATTACTGAATAAGAAAAAAGTCATAACAGAAAAGGTCTAAATAATAGAGCCGAATACAAAAAGAAAAGGTCAAATAAAGCCGAATAATATACTAATAAACATGATAACTGCACTACATTGCCTTGGCGTTAATGTATTGTTTACATATATAATATATAACACGCAGATGAAGATGCGCCAGAAAATTCATCGGAATTCAAGGTGAGATTCAGCACAGTTTCTGCTTTCATCTATTAAAGCCCAGCTTAACATTTCAGTGCAGAACTGATCATCTGGCTTCAGCCACAACGCCTAATTTTTAATGAACAATATGTTTAGTGAACACAAAAGCATGCAAATGATCATAACTCTGGACATTCCAGTAAATCTTAAGAATAATTGACATGAGTACAGGAAATGTTGGATAGCTATTACTCACTTTGTGATAATATGTAATTGCCGTAGTGAAATCATCCTGCGTGAATTACATACAACAACAAAACATAAGCTTCAGTCCAAAATTAATCATTATAACTGGAGACATTAGTTGAATAATTGTGTACCTAGTACCTACCGACATTGTAGACATGTTTGATACATACATCCAATTATATTTATTAAAAAAACACATTGTATTCACTAAACAATGACTTCTGTTGGTCAGTATGCATTTATAATTCTAGTAGCTAACACTACGCGCCATGAAATATCTGAAACAAAACACCACCATATAATGAAACTTCATTTAGAAAAACAAAAAACATCTGATTTTCTACTCAAACATAGGAATCATTATCCCATCCTCTATTCCTCTAAATTACAAAAACCCAGTAAAAGCCAAAGAGTCATTTCCATGCTCACAGAACATTTTATATAAAAGTCAACACAGTCTATTTACCCGAATAATATGATGAAACCACATTTCCAAACATACAGGAAATCTACATTTTGCTTTAAGATAACATAATATTTATATGACAAACTGGAAGATCATTTTAGATACCTGTAAATGGTAAGTATATGCAAGACCAGCATAAGTGCTCACACTTGTTGATAATGCAAGTGCTTTCTCATAATATGAAATTGCTTCTTGGTACATCCTGAGATGGTTCATAAAGACAATCGGGATCAAGAAGTCGAGAATTACATATTGACACTACCACTAATTGGATTAAGCTTTTTGCCAAATTATATCAACATCATGAGAAAATGTTTTCAACTTATCATACTACAAAACTAGCAGTTGAGGATATTCAGAAACATAAAAATTTAGCAAGATATACTTGAATAATCAAAACACCTACAAAATACAACGACCAACACTTATCTCACTAGGTAGAGTCGGCTACATAAACCAAACAACACCATAATGCAATATAATGTATCATATTTTTATTCAAAACATTGACCTATGTCTTTCTTGATATGTCTTTCTTGATATTTTCTTCTAAAGATTTCCTTGGTTTTCATCTACTCTAGCAATAGGGCTACCCTCTATCTTATCAACTCCACTAAACATCGCCTCCGTATGATCATACATATCCTTGATGGAACAAATATAGGCAAACCAAACCCCTTTCTTTTCTAGGACTTTCAATAAAACATCTCTAGGCACCTTATCATATATGTCTTCTTCAAATCAAAGAAGACCGACCATGTGCAAGTCTTTCTATCTTCTATTCCTCCAATATTGCTCCATGAATCACCGTATCAAGTAAATTGCTTCCATGGTCGACCTCTTAGGCATAAAAGAAAATTGGTTATTTCTAATTTTGGTTTCTTTTTTGTCTATGTTCAATCACTATTTGCCATAACTTCTGCATATGGCTCATATATTTTATCCAATCATAATTTGCGCAAATTTATATTTCTCCTTGGTTTTTATGAATCGAAATTAAAATACCTAGAAAGTAACAAATAACAAAAACATTATGTGTATAAATCAAGTCTGCTAGCAAACCATGTTTCAACTTGTCAAAAGATACCAATCTGTATTCTGAAAATTCAATAGTTGAGAAAGAGAAAAATTCAAGTCAGATGAGCACCAAGACATTTATCAACTTACTCCAACTTTCTGCATGCATGAGCAATATTGACTACAGTTGGCTCCCACATTTCACTTAAAGCGGTCGGGATGAGGGCTAACGTTTTCTCGAACCACCATACTGCTTTCTTATACCTGAATCAGAAATCACAATTACGCAAGTCAAAACTACTCAAATGTTCTAAGTAGTGAAACATGGCTGGCAGTAAAATTCATTAAAAATTCAAAAATCTCAATCTTTAAATTTCTCCTCTTCAAACTCCAATCTCATCTTAAAAATTTCTTCAAACTACAAAATTTCTCAGAATTTCTATCTTTTAAAATTCAAAAATAATTTTGTCTCAAACCAATCAGATACCCTTAAATATTATGATAGAAAATGAGAACTTGACAAGGAAAATAAAATTTAAAATAGTACTATATTTGGCCTAGTTTTAAAGCAGAGGGACTTGATTGGCTCAACAAAAACTTGACTGATTGTTTATAGTTTAATCTTCAAACTAGAGATACTAAAAATGTAATTGAGCCTAATAATATATATCAGGAAGATATCCTTACTCTTTCATATGGTAGGCAACAACTCCTAGCTCATTATACACAAGTGGATCCGATGAGCAAATTGACTTTGCCTGCATGAAAAACTGAGGAAAAATATAGGAAAGTTAATTGTGGTATGGGTTACTTTCCACAGATTCATAGTAGATGGCCGGTTGATGTGGTAACCAGTCATTGCTAGATTTTGATTAGGTGAAGAGAGACCAAAGTATCCAAATCCTATAAATAAACTGCACTGAACACTAACTAAAGGGGTAACCCAGTGCACGAGGCTCCCAATAGTAAAATAGACTTAAGCATATATGTAGTAGACATAGGATATAAAGTTGACTTTGTTTGAACTCTTAAAGAACATACAAGAATTTCCAAACTGACCCTAGAATCTTTCCAATTCTAATGTATATACCTGTTCAGCAAGCTTATAGCTGTGAGTCCGCATGCATTCCATTCCAATATAAAGAGCTGGTAAATGGCACCTGGAATAAGAGAACATCAAGATTTAACCTGTAAAAGAACAATTTATAGATAATAAGAAGATTTCGTAAGACTTCATACTTGAGTTTTTAAACAAACAAAAGAAACACATCCATACAAGTGAGCCTCTAGTTAAGATACATGATACGAATATGTGGTTCTAAACCCTACCAAGTATTGGTATACATTAGGGGTAGACTTACAATCAGTATATTTGGGCATATACTACTAGAAGTTATATAATTAATAGTTAAAATTACATACAACAACAACAACAATAACAACCAAGTCTTATCCCACTATTAATGGTTAAAGTTACATGATGTAAAATATTCAAAGTGATTCCACATCTTTCTGTTCTTTTCATAAAACTGAAAAATCAAGCATGAAGATCTTTAATTATCCATCAGCCCAATTTTCCCAATAACATTTCAAATTGTCTTTTTCCTCTAAAGCACTATGCTCTCTCCCAAAGAAGTGTCCCGGGAAACAGTGAACCCCTTTGTGTTTCTAAAATCACTAGCTCCCAAAAATTCTTCTAACCACCCCACTGCCCCACACGATATTACAGTCAATCTATGTAAAACCTGTTAATCAGGAAATAATCAAACACATTTATTGTGAATAATTTACATTCATAGAATAGGAAATTGCCATTATAAGTTGTAATTAGTTATTATGAGTTGTAATTAGTCATTATGAGTTGTAATTACCGACACTATTATATATAGTATCAAATGCAATGAAAAAGGCATCAAGCCAGAATTCATGACATGGTATCAGAAGGGTTCGATCTAACCTGTGAATCCTTGTTCTCTTGGCTGAATAGCGACACTCCACTGGGTCGCTCTTGAAATCGTGTTTCTTGTTTGTATTTCTCGAAATCTGAAATCTTTCAATTGCCGTTTCGTGATTTCTTCATTGTTGTTGCTTCGTGATCTTGATTCCGTGTTTATCGCACGTTGTTTCGGTGATCGTTAATCATTTGGTGCTGCTAACATATTGTGCTTTGCGATTCCGTTTCGTATTCTCGGCGATTCCGCTTGGTGATCGTTGTTCTTGGTGATTCTGTTCGGTGATCGTGGTTTCATTGTTGAATTGTTGGCGATTTCTAGATCGTGGGTGTTTCTTCACCGTTCGTTAGCTACTGCGTGGTTTCCTGGTTTAGCTACCGCGTGGTTTCCTGGTTTGCTTCCCATTGTTTTACTATTTATTTAATTGGTATTATTAAATAAATTGGTTGCACGTACACACTGGGTTTGGATTTATCCTGTTTATTTAACAATACAAAGGGGTTATATCTAATGGCAATGGAAAATGAAAAGAATTTTTGTGTCCGTTTTACCGGCAAGAATTATTCTGCATGGGAATTTCAGTTCAAGATGTATGTTAAAGGAAAGGGATTATGGAGTCATTTAGATGGTGTTTCTAAGGCACCGACGGAGAAAACTGGTTTAGATGCGTGGGAAACTAAAGATGCTCAAATCATTACTTGGATTCTCAACAGTATTGATCCTCACATGATCAATAACTTACGCTCTTTTTCAACTGCTCAAGAAATGTGGAATTATCTAAAGCGCATTTACAACCAGGGCAATTCGGCAAAACGTTTTCAGTTGGAGTTAGAAATAGCCAACTACAAACAAGGTGATTTGTCTATTCAAGAATACTGTTCTGGTTTTTTAAATCTCTGGGCAGAACACTCTGCTATTATACATGCTAATGTTCCCAAGACCTCTCTCGCGGCTGTTCAAGAGGTTTACAACACAAGTGGTCGAGATCAATTTCTCATGAAATTACGCCCAGAATTTGAGGTTGTCAGAGGTGCCTTGCTGAATAGGAATCATGTTCCTTCTTTAGATACATGTGTTGGAGAACTCCTAAGGGAGGAACAACGTCTTATTACTCGAGGAGCCATGTCTCATGATGCTACCATTTCCGAGCCCGTGATGGTTGCATATGCTGCTCAAAGTAAAGGTAAAAATCGTGATATGAAACAGGTTCAGTGCTTCTCTTGCAAACAATTTGGTCATATTGCTCGTAGCTGCAATAAGAAGTTTTGTAATTACTGCAAGCAACGGGGTCATATTATCTCTGAGTGTCCCACACGTCCTCCACGACCAACACAACGTTCAGTACAGGCATTCCATGCAAATCATGCGGTTGGTCCTTCCACTAATGGGGCATCAAACGATAGTGCTATACAACCCGAATTGATTCAACAAATGGTACTTTCCGCTCTCTCGGCCTTGGGAATTCAGGGTAAGTCTTCTAATGTTTCTCGCCCATGGTTTCTTGATTCGGGTGCATCCAATCACATGACAGGTTCTTCAGAGTATTTGAACAATTTACACTCTTATCATGGTAATCAGAAAATTCAAATAGCTGATGGTAATACTTTATCTATTACGGATATTGGCGACATCAACTCTGATTTTCGGGACGTGCTTGTATCCCCTGGACTTGCGTCTAATTTATTATTTGTTGGTCAATTGGTAGATAAAAATTATGATGTTAACTTTTCTCGTGATGGTTGTCTTGTGCAGGAACAGGTGTCGGGGAGAGTGATCGCGAAGGGGCCTAAAGTGGGAAGATTGTTTCCACTCCAGTTTATTTCTAATCATATATCTCTTGCTTGTAATAATGTTTTGAACTCTTATGAGGATTGGCATAGAAAATTAGGTCATCCAAACTCTGTTGTTTTGTCCCATTTATTTAAAAATGGTTTGTTGGGAAATAAAAATGTTTCTAATGCCTCTATTTCATGTTCTGTTTGCAAATTAGCTAAGAGTAAAACACTTCCTTTTCCATCTGGTGCTTATCGTGCTTCCACTTGTTTTGAAATGATTCATAGTGATGTATGGGGTATATCTCCTGTAGTTTCTCATTCTCACTATAAATACTTTGTCACATTTATTGATGATTATAGTCGTTTTGTTTGGATATATTTCCTTCGGTCTAAATCTGAAGTGTTTTCTGTGTTTAAGAAATTTTTAACATATGTTGAAACTCAATTTCAAGCAAGTGTTAAAAATTTTCGCTCTGACTCTGGTGGTGAGTACATGTCTCATAAGTTTCAGGAATACCTTCAACAAAAAGGCATCTTGTCGCAACGATCTTGTCCCAATACCCCTCAACAAAATGGTATTGCAGAACGGAAGAATCGTCATTTGCTTGATGTAACACGCACATTGCTTCTCCAAGCTTCAGTACCATCCCGATTTTGGGTAGAAGCTCTTTCCACAGCTGTCTTCTTGATCAATCGTCTTCCTTCTACGGTTATTGAACTTGATTCTCCTTTCTTTCGTCTTTTTAAAATTCATCCTGATTATAGTGCTTTACATACTTTTGGGTGTGTGTGTTTTGTTCACTTACCTCCTTTTGAAAGGCATAAGCTTGGAGCACAATCAGTTCAATGTGCATTTATGGGATATAGTCACTCTCATAAGGGATTTGTGTGTTATGATGTCACTAACCATCGTTTTCGCATTTCTAGAAATGTGACATTTTTTGATAATCAGTTTATGTTTTCCTGTGTTTCTCCTGCCATTAATGATATTGTTACTCTTCCTAAGTTTTCTATTATGCCTCAATCTATAGAACGTTATAAACCAGGTCATGTATATGTCAGAAAACACAGACAGCAGGTTCCCACACCCCTTCCCGACGCTGAACCACCACCTGATCCTGTACCGGTTGAACCACGGCGTTCTGGTCGAATATCTCGTGCACCAGATAGATATTCACCAGACAGGTATGATTCCTCACATACTTCTCTGACTGCCACACTCTCTAGCATATCTATTCCTACTTGTTACTCACAGACTGTTAAGGATGTGCGATGGATAAAAGCAATGAATGAAGAGCTTCAAGCTCTTCAAGAGAATTTCACATGGGATATTGTCTCTTGCCCTCCCGATGTAAAACCTATAGGTTGCAAATGGGTGTATTCTGTGAAATTAAATTCTGATGGGTCCCTCAACCGTTACAAGGCTCGTTTGGTTGCGTTAGGAAACAAGCAGGAATATGGAATTGATTATGATGAGACATTTGCATCGGTTGCCAAAATGACAACTGGCCGCACTATTATCTCTATAGCTACTTCTAGTGGTTGGACTCTTCATCAAATGGATGTGAAGAATGCTTTTCTTCATGGTGACCTGAGAGAAGATATTTATATGACTCCACCTCAAGGCTTATTCTCGTCATCTAAATGCGTGTGTAAGCTCAAACGCTCCTTATATGGTTTGAAACAGGCACCTAGAGCATGGTACGAGAAATTCCGCTCCACTCTACTTGGATTCTCCTTTATTCAGAGTCAGTATGATTCATCTTTATTTATTCATAGCACATCTACGGGTATTGTTCTGCTTCTTTTGTATGTTGATGATATGGTTATTACTGGTTCGGATCATGCTTCCATTCAGCGACTTAAGCAACAGTTACAAGCCTCATTTCACATGAAAGATCTGGGTAATCTACATTATTTTCTTGGTCTTGAGGTTCATTCTACATCCAAGGGCATCTTTCTCCATCAACACAAGTATGCTACAGATTTGATTTCTATGGCCGGTCTAGAATCGGCTAACCCGGTAGATACTCCTCTTGAGGTTAATGTTAAATATCATCGTGATGATGGTGATCTTTTGTCTGATCCCTTATTGTATCGACAACTTGTGGGCAGCCTCAACTACTTGACTATTACTCGCCCTGACATATCTTTTGCTGTTCAACAAGTAAGTCAATTCATGCATTCTCCTCGTCATCTTCACTTGGCTGCGATTCGTCGTATAATTTGCTACTTAAAGGGAACCTCTCACCGCGGATTATTCTTTTCCGTTGGAATTTCTCTTCAGTTGAGTGCTTATAGTGATGCTGATTGGGCAGGGTGTCCTGATACTCGTCGATATGTTACTGGTTGGTGCATGTTTCTTGGTTCTTCATTGATCTCTTGGAAAAGTAAGAAGCAAGCAAGAGTTTCTAAATCTTCTACTGAATCAGAGTATCGTGCCATGTCTGCTGCTTGTTCAGAAATACTTTGGCTTCGTGGTCTTTTGGCTGAACTTGGATTTCCCCAAACAGAGTCAACTTCACTTTATGCTGACAATACAAGTGTCATTCAAATTGTTGCAAATCCTGTTTTTCATGAGCGCACCAAACATATCGAAGTTGATTGTCATTCAATACGTGACGCCTACGATAATCGAATAATATCACTTCCTCACATCAGTACTCAGTTGCAGGTTGCAGATATTCTTACCAAGGCTGTTCCACGCCCACGACATCAGTTTCTTGTTAGCAAATTGATGCTCCTTGACCAGCCGCATCAATTTGAGGGGGGATGTTAATCAGGAAATAATCAAACACATTTATTGTGAATAATTTACATTCATAGAATAGGAAATTGCCATTATAAGTTGTAATTACTTATTATGAGTTGTAATTAGTCATTATGAGTTGTAATTACCGACACTATTATATATAGTATCAAATGCAATGAAAAAGACATCAAGCCAGAATTCATGACAAAACCTCGTCAATAGAAATTAGGAAAGAGATTTAGCATCATCTTCCTTAGACTCCTCTGTTCTCATAAGCACCCACTCCCTTTCGTCTTCCTAAGCCTCGGGACAACTTACTTTTCAATTTAACAAATTATCTAGGGAATTGGGAAGAACAAATTCGCAAAAGTATTGTAAATCAGTGCGCATGTACATTCACAGGGAGAAACAATGAATGATATATGTGAATTTTGGTGAGTAAGAGAAGTAGAGAATTGCTTTTCGTGATGAGGTGAATTTCTCTAAACTCCCATTCAAATCCACGGGCTGGAGAATTCACATATACATGAGCTCAGGCCACGTGGCTAGGGCCAACCATCTAACCCAAATCGCAATGTAAAGGCCTTTGCCAACTAAGGGCCTGTTCAATTGAGCTTTTTTCTAAGAGAAACATATTTTTAGTGAGAAACAAATGTCAACAAAAGTTTGTAAAATTAAACAATATTATCTGAAAACAAAAAAAAAAACTGAAGAACTAAACAGTTTTGATACTTTTCTTAGAATTGGATGTGATAGAATAGAAGCATGCTTTTCAAGGCTTATCCAATTACACCAACAATACAATGTCAAAAGAACTTTTTGTCTATATCACTAATACCCTTGTTGGGTTTCCACTACTCCTATTCAATCTTTTAATCTACATTTGAGTAATTGCAGATTAGTGATATGACCAGATCATGAAAAGCAACAAGCAAAATTTATTTCATTACCATTAACACAACTTAATCAAATCATTAACCAAAAATTCAGTAAAACTTCTGAAAATAATATAAAGAAATTCAAATACCGAGAAAATTGTTCATGGTCATAAGAAAAATGAAAGAAAAAAAAAGCAGTTAGCCTAAGCGCTTCACTGCTAGGGTTAATAAATTCATGTTATATTAGGTCATTATACAAAAACAAGAAAGGAATAGCAGAGAATTATACTTTTTATTTTTCATAAAGCATACTTTTGCCTTGAAAATGATTCATAAAAAGCATGTTAATAGTGTTTATTTTTTTCATTTCTGTGGTATGTTTCTTTTTGCAAGAACCCAAAACAAACATGTAATATATCTCAGACAGTTGTTTAAGGTTTTAACCTTAGTACTGAAGATATGTAAAGAAGAAACTTACGTGATTATATTTGGGGGTGGGGGCTAGGGTGAGAAAGTTCTAATAAGAAAAATCAATACCCCGGAAATAATCGAGCTGCAGTGCGGTAAGCTGACATAGCCTGATCACCTTCTTCTTGAGCTGCAAAGGCATTCCCATAGCCTATCCATGCAGGGGGAAATGTTCCATCTAGACTTGTCGCCTTGCTGTACGGTAGAAAATAATAATAATAATAATAATAATAATAATAATAATAATAATAATAATAATAATAATAATAATAAGAATAATAAGAATAAGAATAATAATAATAATAATAATAATAATAACAATAACAATAACAATAACAATAACAATAACAATAACAATAATAATAAAGATTTACCTGAAATAACGGCGGGACTGGTCATATTTCTTGATACAATAGTAATAGCAACCAACAGCAAACCATGATAAAGCCCTAAACAATATCAATAAGATTTTATTGTTATATGAGAAGACAACTACAAATGATAAGCAAAAGTCTAAATATACAACTGATTCTTATATGTAGCAAATCTGTAGAAAGCCAATCAACATTGTGGATAAGAGCTTACTTTTGAGGATAATCCTTCACTAAATTGCATGCCATCAGATAGAGTTCATTTGAATTCCCAAGCTCCATAGCAGCTGCCAGATGTACTAATGTGCTCTTGATATGAAAAGGATCCTTCTCAAGTAAACTGTAATATCAGTGCCTAAGCTCAGATACTTAAAACAAAGGGAAGGAAAAAAAAAAAAGAGAAATGAATGGACACAATGAATGATGTAAGACAGCTTTATCTCGCTCCCACTTCAGTCTCCAGATCAGATCCTCAACTTACACAAATGTTAATTCAAAACATTTCTGATATTCACCACACTGATGATAGTATTCGGCTTTGCAGGCCAATAGATCAGTGTTGGTTTTCAGTGTGCGACAGAAAGAAGGATTAGACTGGTCAGTTTTACAGCTCTCGTTCTCAAGATGTCTAAACTTGGCTTCTACAACAATTTCTTTGTCATACTGGGAAAGAGAAAAAAATAATCTTTCAGTTCATTAGTACAAAACATTTGGATATAGGCAATTTCCATTTGGCACCGGCTATTACCTTCTTAACCAAACAAGAATAAAATGATGAAAGCCATCCATCCTCACTTCCAAATTGCAATGATGAGATCAAATTAGTTTCTGGCATTCAACATAAAGGGCAGAACGAGATTTATAGGATCAATTTTGAATTAGCTTGTATACTACCAAGACTATTTTTTAAATCATATGAACGTTAAATCAAAGACTCCAAGGGAGAAGTGAAAATTTTTACCTTCATCACATGTAAGCATGTGATTTTCAATAAGGCATTCCAAAGCCTGACATAATTTGCAAACATCAAGGAAGAATTAGATAACAGTCAGTTGAGAAAAATATAAGCATGCATCTATGCTACAAAAGATACATTCCATAATGGCAAAAAAAAAAAAAAAAAAAAGCAATATAGCATTCTAAAATTCTAAAAAGGCAACTGGAAATGCTGAATCAAATCAATACTTCTGAATAATTATCATAAGAAAATTTAACCAATTAATGCAGTAACGGACATGGTTATCAGAGGGTGTCTTATTATACATGCAAGTAGTAGCTCAACTCGAAACAAAGCTGAATCCATTCAAGACAAATCGTAATGTCTGCCAATATCTCATGGTTTAAAATTGGGGATCATGTCACATGATGCGACAGCAAATCAACAGAAAACCCAGTTGCAGCAGTGTATGCGGCACATCACACTGCCATTGCGCTTCTTTTGCAAATCAACAGAAAGCCCAGAACATGGTGCGTACGACAGCCACAATCAATCACAACAGACTTTATCATGCTCACAAATTATTGTTCAATTTGCTATTTCTTCATGTCAGACTTAGAGACAAGGTTTGAGATATTTTTAAGTGCAATAGGTTGGAGACGTATGCATCCATATCACACTGCAGTTGTACTTCTTTTGCAAATCAACAGAAAACCCAGAACATGGTGCGTACAACAGCCACAATCAACCAAAACAGACTTTATCATGCTCACAAATTATTTTTCTATTTGCTATTTCTTCATGCCAGATTTAGAGGCAAGGTTTGAGATATTTTTAAGTGATAACTTCAACAATAGGTTGGAGATGTGTGATTTTTAAAACAAGCAGTAAATAACAATACAAAGAGCATATATAAAATAGATTCATGTCGCAATGGCCACAATATATGTCTCAGCAACAGCTGTGACTGCATGCACCCTGCAACTGCAACCCCAATTTAAACTTTGATGTATCTAATTTGGACTTGAATTCTATTTCTAGTATGAATCCTAATTCATTATGATGACTTGCAACTTACTCCTAAACTTTATGTAGCCGAGCACTTTTTTGTCAACTTTGTATAACCAAGTGATGTCAGATATTGGCCGTGGTGGCGGCAGATTTTTTGACAACTACCATGGTCAATTTGTGAAGGATGGCGGCGCCATGGCGTTTTATGGCGGCTTCATATTGCAGATTTTTGGATTTCCTCTAAAGATCCACCACCCGCAATCAATAAACTAATAACCAACCACTTTGTCTTTTGTCATTTTGGTAATCTCGGTCTTGAAATTATTTTGAAGTTCATAAATCATACATAAACTTATACTTTTGGGTATGTCATTTGTCTATTTTTACTTTAGAAAGTCGTATTTTTTATCATAGGGAATTTAACCAATGGTAATGTTATTCAGAACAGTGTTGTTGATGGCGGATGGCGGTCCATGGCGGAGAGCCAAAATCCCACCATAGCGGCCGCATTGTGGCGCCGTTATTGCAGATTATGGCGGAAAAACCCGCAATAGCGGCCGATATTTACCATTGCGGCGAGCCCAAAAACTGCCATGTATATCCACCATAGCGGCCATGGCAGGGCAATTTGATAACACTGATTCAGAACCAATTCCGTGTGAACGGTCAGATATAAAGTGAGATGGATTCTGGAGCACCTTTAATCTCCTTTTCTAAGTACTTACCTCCCTAATTACCTATGAACATGTTTCTATTTATAGGCCAGTAGGCATTAGTTAAAATTCAACTAACCCTCTACGTCTAACTATAACCTCTCCTAACATAACAAGCATTTAACTATTGGGCCCCTATCAGAAGTCAAAGGATGTACTATTAGAGCTCATTTTACAGATATGGGCCTAAAAGAGCCAACGGCACACCAGCAATATAGGCCCGCTGTTTAGGAAGTCTATGTTAGGAAAAATAGAAAGAGGCAAGAGAAAATAATAATACATTGCAGTTCCATAATTTCCAATACTCTTTGTTATTTTCCTTGTGTGATTACAGGTTTCTAACATGTATCGCATTAGAGTGGTGCCTAATTGCAGTTTCCAAAATTTCCAATACCCTTTGTTATTTCCCTTCTTGTGTGATTTCTGGGATGATGCCCCCATACAGATCCAAGGTTAGGAGACCAAGGAGGGGAAGGAAAAGCAAATGTTACTGTAGACAAGTATCACAAGATGGATAACTTGATGGTATTAATTAATGCACCTATAAGATATAGTAAGGAGAATATCAATGTGTACCTCATAGCATAAGGGATCCGCTTTTATAGCCGCTTTGTACCTTTAACAAAAGCAAAATGCAATGATGATGAGCCTTTATCAAATCAACTTGGCACACATCATATATATCTAACTCTTCACAAGAGTAGCAATTTATTATACTTGGACTTCATACAAAATGCAGAGCGTCAACAAAAAGTAATGTTTCCGACGGTGTTATATGTAAGTTAGACAATCGTTAAAAGGGACAAAACACCGCAAATACACTCACCACAATCGAGCCTGAGAACGGTTTTCTAGAGCTTCATATGCTTTGCCTCTCAAGAAACATATTGCAGAAGATATCTGTTATAGCATTACAAAATACATTGAAATAAGTATACTATCCATTCATAAAACTCCACATTTTAAAGCAAAAGTTTCACATTCCAAAACCACAATTATGTTTTATTCTAGCAAATAGCAAACTGAAGTAGCAGTACTAACAGAAATTAAATCCAGCATGAGAGACACGTCCTTGAATCGCAGTAGAACGGTTAATCTATAAGATATTATTATTATTTCATTTAGTCTCTTCCTAACCAACATAACAAATGTTGCTGAAATTATAAACAAATTAACTATACATACATTGATTTCACGATCTTGACTATCTTTATCCAAGTACATAACATTAGAGTCCTTAGTATCATAAACATTTCCATTATCATCCACTTTGGCTTCACCCAGCATCGATAGACATTGATTCCACTCTTTCAATTCCTCCTTTTAAAAAAATAATAATCAATTATCTGAAAAAATAGATAAAAAATAAGCAGCGTATTTCGGGAGAGTGAGAGTTACGAGGCACTTGGCGGCGAGGTAGCGGAAGCGGAGGTCACGGAGGACGATTTTGGAGGCGTTGAGGAGATGGAAGGCGCGGCGGTAGTGGCGGCCGAGGAAGAGAGCCTGTGCTTGCATGTAAATGTCGGCGGGGTCATTGGTGAAGGCGGCGACTTTATCGGCGAAGAAGATCGCGGAGGAGTAGAGGTGCTTACTGACACAGTCTCTAACAACTCCTCGAAGCTTCTCGATCTCTTCTTCCCTCATTTTTGCTGTTAGGTTTTGTTGTTTCTCTTGCTGGCTTGGTTATGAATGAGTTAATGGATTCGATTCAAGTTGGGTGTGATGTTAAGGCCGGAAAATTGAAAGAGGGATGGGAGGGAAGGTTAATTATCTGCAAATACAATATTTTAATAATATTACAATGTTTAATAACATGTTAATAAATACAAATTTTAGTTTTATTATTTGCATTCAAAGTTTATATTATATAGATTATATAGGTAAAACTACTGGGATATTCGTGTCTTCGGGTATGGTATGGTACACATAATATTGTTTTTAAAATATAAAAAAAATAAAATTATAAAATTGTCTAATCAAAATAGTTTATTATAGTGTAAATAAAAAAATATAATTTTTTTATTATATAATTATTTTTGAATAACATATTAAATATGTGCGTTTGCGCGGATTTTAATATAATTATCTGTGTGCTCACACGATACTGATGTATTACTTATACGTTCACACGATACTGATGTGATACGTAATTTTTTGTTTTTAAAATATAATAAAGATAAAAACAATCAAAATAAAATTATTTTATTAAAATAATTTATTATTTTTAAAAGAAAGACATATTTTAAATAAAAAACAAAATTGTTTCATCAATAATATATATTTTAATTTTTCGTATATTATCTTTAAATTATATTTATCTTAAATTAAAAATAATTTCAAAATAAAAATATTATATGCATAAATAATTAAAAAATAATACACTTTTCTCGTGTTTGAATTAATACATTATTTTCACTTTTTTTTAATTGTACAAAAAATATAATAATACATGTGTTTGCACGGATTTTGGTATGGTTATTCGTACACTAACATGGTATTGGTATGTTATCCATGCGTTCACACAGATATTAGTCTGGTACACACACTTTTACAATCAAAATATAATTAAAAAATAACTCATGTTTCTCGTTTTGAATTCATACATTATTTTTATTTTCTCGTGTTTGGCTTCTCTTTAGTGATCTCTCTCATAGAATAGAATATTTTGTCATAGTTGACTAGAATTAATTTCCTGTAATTATGTTGTATCATAATTAGACAGTTGATCAAACGTTACACAATAGTTGTATATATTCTATTCACTTGAATGAGAAAGGCACGCATTCTATTACCTTACATGGTATCAATGATAGAATAGAATATTTTGTAATAATTGATTATGATTAATTTCCTGTAATTATGTTGTATCATAATTAGACAGTTGATCAAACGTTACATAATAGTTGTATATATCATATTCACGTGAATGAGAAAGACACGCATTCCATTATCTTACATGGTATCAACCCTAATCAATCCCTCTCTAAAACAAAAAAATAATAATAATAAAATAAAAAACCCCAAAACACAGAAACATGTGTTTACTTCTTCTCCTTCGTTGAAGCAGTCATCGCCGCCACAGGTGACCTTCCTCCTCTGTGTATTGTCGCTGCCAAACCCGAGAACCACTGTGTTTCTCGCCCTGTGTTTTATCTGTGTCGCCGCTGACGCACACCACACGCGTTTTCTCCACTCTATTCCCGATTTAGGTCTCTATTTGTGTTCCTTTCCACTATAAATCATGTTTGATTCCGAACACAACGACTCTAATAATTGTCCAACCGCCACTGCCACTGGTGATTCCGGCCAGCCCAAGGTCACCACGCTCAACAGTTCAAAAATAGATTTTCATCCATCCCTTGTCGTCTCCAATATTAGGAATCCAAATCCTATTATTCTTGAGATGGAAAAAGATCAATATGGAACTTGGGTCGAGCTTTTCCGCATTCATGCTCGCTCATATCGAGTCCTACATCACATCATTCTATCTACAAGAAAAGTACCATCAGCCTTTACTGACGCCGAGCATGAACAATGGACCACTCTTGATGTCACTGCCCTTCAGTGGATTTATTCCATTATTTCTACTGATTTGTTGACCACTATTCTGGAACCTAACTCCACTACAATGGAAGCATGGAATCGTTTGGCAGATAATTTTCAGGATAATCAAAACGCTCGTGCTGCACTCTTGAGCAAGAGTTCTCCAACACTCGCATGGAGGATTTTCTCAATGTCTCTGCATGCTGTCAGCGTTTTAAGATGCTCTCTGACCAATTGAGAAATATCGGCTCGCTTGTCAACAATCACTGTCTGGTTCTTCAACTGATATTTGGTCTTCCAAAAGCTTAATGCAATGGTACCACCTTTGTTTTCCAGATTAATCCTCTTCATGCATTCTATCAGGCTCACTGCATGCTCAACTTGGAAGAAGTTGGTATGGCTAAAATGGCAAGCATAGGCTCTCATGCTGTCGTGCACACCACTTAGAAGTGACCTTCTGAAGACACCTCTCAGCGTGGCAACCGCCGCTCTGGTAACCGTTCTCACTCTCGTGGCAACCAGGGCCGCGGAAGGGGTGTGGTAATGTCCTCAGGCATATGCAGCTACTACATCATCTCAGACACTGTGATACGGTGGGAGAACTGACTTGAGGCTTTGCGTTTGTGTTCGCAAATGTTTCGGTTTAGCAAGAGTCTCCACCGACTTTTATTTTATCCAAAAGGAAAGGTCAAAAAGCACAGGAAAGACCTTTGAGATGTTTTCTTGAGTTCGGCGGGTAGATTATGAAAAGGGAAGGTGCTAGCATCCTTTTCATCCATGGTTTTCCATGGGCTCTTAGTTACTTGTTTAGATCACTTGCTTTGCTTTTCCAATTGTTTGAAATGGTGTTTTGTATGGTTTTGAAAGTATTTTGAAAAGAGGTCATTGTTTTGGCAATCTTTGTAATGATTCTTGTTTGTAAGAATGTATACAAAGATGTTTGTCTTTTGAAAAATGTTTCAATGTTTGAAAGTTGTTTGGAAATTATTTTGAAATGTGTGTGTGTTTGTTTGAAAATAGCAAGGATGGTTTGCAAATTGATCAAGTAACTAGAAGCATCTACCTACTCAAAAGTCTTTCCTACACATTTTTATTCCTTTGATATTGTTGATTTACCATTGTATTTGGTAGTCAACCCTATCTTTTTATGTTAAACGGGACGGGCGTGGGTCATCGTATGACCATGATAGCAATGGTGCCAAGTGTGATCGGTGGAAATAGAACTGACTGTTTTGAAATGCTGGTTCGCAAAATGTCGCGGTAAGCAAGAGTCGCCACCGTCTTTTATGTTCTCTGTTATACCCCAAAATTTGCCCTCCCATATTCCTCAAGAAATTGCCAAGCCAAGCTACAAAATTCCCCAAGGATTGTGCAGTGCAACAGTCTCCCATATAGTCAAAACTAGGGTTTGGGTTCTGATCAAGAAAATGAAGTTTTCAAAGGCTCAATCAAGTCTCATATGCTTACAAACATGATCAAGCATCCTCATATCAAGTTTCAAGGCATTCAGCTCAAGATTGCACAGTCAAAACCCTAAATTGCACTACAGTCAACTGTAGGGGGCAAAATGGTCATTTGACAGTCAAAAGTTCAAATTTTTGGTCAACATATCATTTTGAAGCCACAAACATCATTTGATCAATGCTTGATCATGATTCTCAAAATTTGGCTAAGAAATCATCAAAGATGCAAAAGTTGCTATATTTGGACAGCTGAAAAAGTCAATTGAAATTGACCAGAGCATAACTTGCACATGGATTATCAGAAAAATCCCATCCAAAGCTCATTTTGAAGAGAAAGACATTTCCTACAACTCATCTTCATACTTCAAGTCCAAGAAATGCTCTCACAAAAAGTTATCAATTTCAACATTACAGGTCATTTTCAAAAGTCAACAAAAAGGGACTTTAAGTCAAAGGCCATAACTTGAGATTGGAAAATCAAAATGACATGGGACCAAAGGCATTGGTTAAAGGACTCAAAGACCTTTCCAAAATGTCCAAGAACATGAGAAAAGCTTAAAAATTGAGCAAGTTATGCATTGGAGAAGTTGGGAAATTTTTGTGAAATGGCAAAAGTCAACTATCCTTGAAACTTCAATTTTTGACAAAAGGGCCCACTTTCTTCCACTTGATTCAGCCTTGTCATGCCACACACGTGTCCCATGATTAGTTTCAAGATCAAACATTGATTTTTCTATTTTATTTAATTTTTGATAATTTAATTCATTTTAAATCTTTAAAAATTCAAATAAAATTCAAAAACCAATGGAATAGTGTCATTTGAATTTGGACAACTTCCATATATCATGGGCCAGCTCAAAAACTCATGCTAGGGTTAAATTGCACACCAAGTCTTGGTTTGCTTAAAAAAAGGGAAAATTGGTTAATGGTGAAAACCCTAGGACTAGTTCTCTCATGGGCATGAATCAAGGCCAACTAACAAGCTAATTCTCTTCCCTCATAAGTGCTAAGTCAAACCCTAACCACAACAGACCATATGCTGCGCTCAAAAGCTTATTGCAACATTGAAAATTTCCCATAAAAACACAAATCTGAAATCAAGGTTCGAGAAGTTTTAAGCCTTAATTCTTTTTCTAAAGGCTTCCTCAGAGCTCCCTGAAGCAATTCCAACTCCAAACATCCATCCAAACGAAAAGAATCGGCAGCAAGGACCTCCCCTGTACAGAGAAACTTTTGAAATCCTATATCATAATTCATACATTCTTTTGCATTTTTATTTGTGAATTCTTGTTTAATGTGAAGTTTCCAAACTAACTGATGTGTTTAATTGAGTTTTCATAAGCCATATGCGATTCTACCATTTTCGAATATTAGGGTTACAGGTTTTTAAAATTAGGGCTTTTGCAAAGAAGAAAAATCAAAGCTTCAGACCATGGCCATTGAGTTCAGTGCATTGAGACGGACGTAAACCACCATTCGCGAACAATTTATATACACCCAGCATCTAATCGCTATTTTCTTGTAGGTGGTATACAGCAACGCGTGCAAAACCGTTTCCATAGGCTTGTGTTTCAGAAAAAGTGAGGAAGATGATGTGTTGTCCCTCACTGATTCGTTGATTTTAAATTTCGCGCTTTTAATTACTAACGCGCTGATTCTTTCTTTTTGTTAATTGTGTATCATTAATATATCAATTAATCCAAACAGCTCAGCTGGCAGACACCTCTCTTGGCAATATCCAAGACCTGGGTTCGAACCCCAGGTCTCATGCTATTTCAATATTGTTTTTCATTTACAATTCCCATGCAGGCATGATCTTAAGACGCACCATACTCCTTCATCATCCCACCATCCACGCGTCCATCCCATTCAGATCAAAGGCGTAGGATCAAGGAACACAATAAACCCCAGTCAAAGCATCATACAGGATTCAAAAAGTCAATGGACTCAAGCTTAATGGGCCTGAAATGCTAAGGCCTGTACCTCCAATTTTGGGGCTACCCCCCCTGGTTTGCCATTCTTTTTATTTTTCTTGTGTTTCACTTAATTTATTATTTTATTTTCTTGATTGTTTAATTTAATTAATTATTGCCATAAAATATAACAACATCACAAAAAAATCAGAAAAAGGATAAAAAACATAAAAAATATTTATTTTATTTATTTTGTTGTAAATAATTAATATGTAAATTATTTAGTCTAATTAGGTTTTTTAACTTTAATTCTTTCTTCCATAAAAAAATCCAAAAATATAGCATTAGGTTAATGACTTTTTATTCCTTTTAACTTTCCTTGTTTTTTGCCATAATATTAGTAATTTTCATAAATTAAATCTTGCATGTAAATAAATTTAGTTTTAATTAGGTTTTAAATTTTAATATTTTCACAATAAACTTAAAAAAACATTAGAATTAGGGTTTAGTATTTCATTTTAATTTTAATTGATTTTTCTTTTTCTTTTAAATCTAAAAAACACAAAATACCAAAAACATTTATTTTTTTAATTCCTTATTAAATTTAATCTTTTTGCAAGAAGGGTCCAACGCCCATTGTTGTTAATTATTTTGTTTCGCGTATTTTACTTTGTCGCTTATTATAATTATGTACATGTCCCAAAGCCTTGTAATAATTTTATTTCTCGCACTTTTATTCACTTTATTTATTTTTCAGTCAAATCGGGTTCGGTTTATTTTGGCGATGTGGACCCGCGCCATTTGTAATAGTTTAGATTTATTTTCTCGCAAGTATATAACTGTTAACAAAAAGCATGCAAGAATGAATGTCTTAATTAAAATCAAGCGTAGAACACCAACAAACATGACAAGACAAATATCTGAAAACGACACACGAATCGCACACACCACCCCTAGGGTACGCCTCACTGTTGCCTTGCCTCGAAAGGTGATCGTCGAGTAGAGGATGTCTTAGTAAGTCCTCATGATCCGGGAACCTGGCATGAGGGTAGCTTCTAAGGTGTCTTCCCATTACTCCGGTGATCACCATGTCCCTACAAACTCGAATTGACCCGAACACCTCCAACGGTGGTGCTACCTACCTCTCAATGGTGGGATGGCACTACTTTAAAGGACATTTACACAGACGAATTCCTTAGGGTAGGTAGACGACTCATGGATACTTGCTCTCTTCAAAACAAAAATTCAAAGACTTTTCACACCAACATTTTCAAAAGCTTTCAAAACAAATTTTTCAAACACTCTGACGTACGAGTCGAACTGAAATTTTTCAAAGAAACTTTTAAAACCCACATTGAAAAGCAAGCAAACATTTTTGAAAACACATTGAGCAAGTACCTAAGAGCCCATGGATAACCATGGATAGAAAGGGTGCTAACACCTTCCCTTTCTATAATCTACCTCCCGAACCGAGAGCAATCTCTTTTAAGGAATTTTTCTGTGCTTTTGTCCTTTCCATTTGGAGAAAATAAAAGACGGTGGCGACTCTTGCTTCCGCGACATTTCGCGAACCAGCTTTAAAACAGTCAGTTCCAGATCCACCGATCACATTCTCCAACAAGGAAAGGACAAAAGCACAGCAAAATTCATTTTCGAGATGTTTCTCGGGTTCGGGAGGTAGATTATAGAAAGGGAAGGTGTTAGCACCCTTTCTATCCATGGTTATCCATGGGCTCTTAGGTACTTGCTCTTATGTTTTCAAAATTTGTTTGCTTTTCAAGTGTGGGTGTGTTTTGAAAAAGTTCGTTTTGAAAAACTTCTAAGTAACTCTTGTATCAGTCCTCAAGAGTGTATGAAGTATTTGTTTGAAAACTTTTTGAAAGTGTAAGTGTGAAAAGTATTTTGTTTGTTTTTTTGAAAGAGCAAGTACCCATGAGAAATCTACCTACTCTAAGGAATTAGGCTGTGTAAGAGTCCTTTAGATAATGCTATCCCACCATTGAGAGGCAGGTAGCACCATCGTTAGAGTTATTCAGGTCAATTCGATTAAGGGACATGTGTGGTCACCGAAGCAATAGTAGGACACCTTAGAAGTAACCCTAATGTCCTAGATCCTTTTATCCGAGGCAACCGTTTCGAGGCAACTGGATCTTTAGACAGGAGGGCGA